TACCTTGGTCAACTAGTTACTCTCCTTGTGCTAAATGTCTGTAGTGTTGAGAAACGCCAAATCCTGTGTTCTCAATGAAGTTCAATTCCTGTCAGGATAGCTCTGCTAAAAACACTCATCTCTATCTTGAGATAAAATTTGCATTCTTCTAACATCTGCTCACAGGTTGTATTCTGCCCCTCGAGGCCCTTCAGAACAAGTTGTTCACATCATAGTCCTTTAAAGACATAATGAGAGTGATTGTGTTTCTCTAGGTCTTTTCCTGGCTAAAAATTCCCTATTGCTTTTCTGAGGTGTACATATGACATAGTTTCAACTCATGTCACTATTTCAAATATCTCGGCTAAGTATGCTCCAAGTAATAAATCTTTTTTGAAGAGTGATACCTATAACCGGGCAAAGCTTTACAGTTGAGATCCTTTGTGCACAGTAAGAACCAGAACAATTCAATTCACTGAAACTTAGGTGAATTCAATTGTACTTAACAAATAGAAATTCAGGGCCACCCTATCAGCTCCTTGTGACCCAGAACTTACCTGACTCACTCTAAAATCAATCTAGCCTATGAATTCAGATCTCATACTTGGACAATATCTATACATAAAATAGCCACTGTAAAGGTTTTTGCTTTTCTTTCTTTCTGTCAGTTACAGCTCAAAGTAATTATACTGTCTTTTTTTCATCTTATTAAAAATAAGACACATCATATTAAGAAAAATATCAAGAAGTTGTTGCCAAAATCCTCCCTGCCCTTTATGAACATAGAATGATTTATCATTCTAGTAACCTTCTCTCTCATGTATATACTGAACAAATATTTATTGAACATCCAATATATATTTTATTTCTCCTAGGTACAGGGGATATTAATAGTGAATAACGAAGATCAAATCATTGACTTCATGAACTTTCTTTGTGAGTATGTAATATATATAATAAAGGTAACAAATTAATATAAAATATAACTTCAGGTTGTGATATAGACTCTAAAATAAGCAAGTATGGTAACATAATAAGTTATAGCTGGAGGAGTGATTTAGGGAGAAGGGAGATTGATCTCTGAGAAGATGATATTTAAGCTGAGTCCTTGTAAATTGAACATAAAAGAAATTGTCCATATGGCCATATGGGAAAAGAACACTGGGGAATTACAAAGTGCAAACTCCCTACTAGGTGGAAAGGGGGTTACTGTGTTCTAGAATCACAAAAGGAACTATGTAGAGATCTAGTGGGTGAAAAAATAATAATATGGAGTGGAGTTGGAAGTTAGGCAATAGGAAAAGCATATAGGTCTGATTAAGCTATAAAAATAGTCTGCATTTTAAAAAGCTAAGGAAAGTGATTTTTCTGATAAACACCTTTAAAACTTTATCTTTTACAGAGATATGAATGTAGGCATGGAGACCATATAGAATGACATTTCTGTAGTCCAAGATAGAAATGATGTTGGCATAGGCTAAGATGTTGACAAACAAGATGGAGAGAAGTATATAGATTCAAGATAGATTTTTTTTTTTTTTTTTTTTTTTGCGAAATGATAGGACTTGTTAATGGATTAGGTAGGAAAAACAGCCATTAGATATCATTCCAACATCAACTTCACCAAAGCAGGCATTTTTTATCATTTGTTTTCTTTACTATTTTCTCTCCAGATGCATTAACAGTGCCCACCACACAGTAAATGTTCAATAAATAATGAATGAATGAGTAAAGAAAACCTCCCAGGTTTTTAATCAGAGCTATGAGGTGAATGGCTGTGTCATTAACTAAAACTAGGAACTGAAAGAGAAGTGGAATAAGATGAAGATGGAGAAATTAAAAGTTTCATTTAGGCTATTTTAAGTTTTAGATGTTTTCTAGATATCAAAGTAAAGATACCAAAGGAAAAATTAGGCATATGTGAGTCTGGTTTTTCAGGGGAGATATTTGGTCTGGAGAGAAAAAATTGGAAATCAAAAGCAGTAGAAGATATTCAGAACCACGATGTTTACTAAAATAAATAATTAAAAAACAATATCTCTGAAGGACAACTTTTTAAAAAGATCTGATTATGGAGATACAGTAGTCCTCCATTCTCTGCAGAGCATATGTTCCAAGACCATTCAACAGATGATTAAAACCTCAGATGGTACCAAACCCAGTTATCATCAATGAGAACACATTTTCCGTTCATGTCTTCTGCCCAAAAACTTCATGCCTTTTCCATCTTATCATTCACTGTGGCCATAACTTTTGCAATTTGAGGTGCGACAGACAGCAAAATGAGCATTAATTTCTTTTTACTTCTTCACAATTTCAGAGGGGATCCATTCTTACCATGGATTTTAGCAACCACAGCATATGATTTTTTTTTTTTTTTCATATCTGAATTGCCAGAGTCACTACTCTTGTATTTTGGCACCATTATTAAGTAAAATACAGGTTACTTGAACATGAGTACTACGACAGTTGATTGGATAACCACGATGGCCGGTAAATGAGTAACAGGAAGGTGGTATTCACAGCATGAATATGCTAGATAAAGGGATGATTAATGTCCTGGGTGGGACAGAGAGAGATGAAGAAAGGTTTGATCTCAATATGGGGAATTACATGCAATTTAAAACTTCTTATTTTGGGAATTTTTCATTTAATAGTTTTGGTCTCCAGTTGACTGAGGGTAACAGAAACCATCAAAAGCAAAACAGCAGGCAAGGAGGATTACTGTAGATGTAACATGTTTATTAATGGAAAGATTCAATATCTGAAAGGGGTCATTCTCTAAAATAAGCTATAATTCAAAAAATTTTAACGTTTTAAATCTAACTTCTAATGTTTTTTCATGATACTTGATAAGTTAATCCCAAAAGTTATATAAAAATTAAGAATGACAGCTATAATTTAAAGAAAAAAAAAACAGGATGAGCCAGCTTGCCTAGAAGATATCAGGATTTAATGTAAAACCATGCTTAAAACATTATGCTACTGTTACAGGGATAGAGAAATAGACCAATGGAACAGAATAGAAAGTCCAGAAACTTGTGTACCTTGAAATGTTTCACTTTGTCTATCAACCTATCTTTACATGTGGAACAAACTAAAAATAATTATACATTGTTATATATGTATTATATATATATTTAATGCATTGTATAAACTTGTATATGTGTATGTGTATTTATGTTTATAAGTATATATGAACATGTATACAAATATATATTAGATAATGGAAATATTTGTAAGTCTTCATGGGATATGTGTGAAACAATGGTAGAATTTCACAGTAATAGAGAAAAGATCAACTATTTAATATATGATGGTGGCCCAAATGTCAACACTACAAAATGAAACGATCTCTACCTCATGTTAGACATAAAAATATATTTCAGAAGGAATAAATATCTGTATGTTGAATAATAATACTTTACTCTTTTAACAACATAATGTGGGAAATACGTGACATATTTGTTGGTAGAATGTCTTAACAAGGCACAAAACCACAAACCAGGGCACACAGTAGGTGCCCCATAACTACATATTAAAATAACTAAAAGATAAATCATATGTTTACGTTAAAGTTCTTAAAGTCTGCGACTGAAAAATTATTTTTAAAATTTTTCAAAAGACATGGGCAACAGAGATATTTTTAACAAACCTAAGCAAATTAATTACAAAAAAGACAACCTAACTAAAATTGGAAAATTCGTAAAGGATGTAAGCAAGTCACCGAATTAGAAAGTCAACTAGTCAATAAATATTTGCGAAAACAATGTTCTCACTAGGAATCAGAAAATTACACATTAAAACCAATGAGAGATACTTAATACTTTCAGATTGAAAAGGCATTTTAAAAAGTGATAACCCTGAGCGTTATCCACAATGTGCAGAGATGAGAACACTTACAGAGTGTTGATGGGAGTATATTTCATTCAACTACTTTAGAGACCTCGTTGGAGTATTCTGTTCCCTCTGGAGTTTCATAGAAAATTGACATCAGTTGGGAGATCTCAGCTGCAGGTCCTCTAGCCTCCACTTTTCCAGCTTGTTCTTACTTGTTAATCAACATTAAGTCCAAAGACGCAGTTTCTTTCACAGTTTCCTCAATATTCTTAGAGATGAAATTGTCAGCAAGGCAAATCAAGAATTTATCACATGCCCTACTTTTTGTAGAATGAGAATCTCAGGAGACATCCAGATAATTAAAGTCCCTAATCTTTGTTATATTTCTCATCCTTATAACATCTGTGGTCTTCATTAGGAAGTATCCATATTATTTCCTGCTTCTTCTCAGACAAGAGTGTTTAAATTGCCCTATGTGTATGTTGATTCATGGCTTCAAAACTATTTGTCATGTAGAAATAATTCCCTAAAAGTGTGTCACTCTTCAGATTTTAAGAAACATCTGAATTACTGACAAGAAAATATTTCTTAACTTTTTTCAAACACATATCTTTTTTGATAAAAGAAAAAAAGAGTCAATCCTTTCAACCCATTTGAAATTTCAAAATAAATAATCACTAAAAACAAATCAAATCATTTGGACCAAGCACCATTGCCTCAGGAGATTCCAATATGGCCACTTAAGGAATGTCAGTCTTTTTCTCTATTCTCTTTTTAAGAATCACCTTAGGACAATTCAGTCCTCCATGCTTCAAATAAACATTTTGGCCGAGCACGGTGGCTCACGCCTGTAATCCCAGCACTTTGGGAGGCCAAAGTGGGCAGATCACTTGAGGTCAGGAGTTTGAGACCAGCCTGGCCAACTTGGTGAAACCCCATCTCTACTAAAAATACAGAAATTAGTCAGGCATGGTGGCGCATGCCTGTAATCCCAGCTACTCAGGAAGAAGAGGTTGCAGTGAGCCGACATTGCGCCACTGCATTCCAGCCTGGGCTACATAGTGAGACTTGGTCTCAGAAAAAAAAGAAAAAAAAATAGTGTATTTTCATATGCATAAAAGCATTAGGAATTAATTATATATAATTTTACAGACAAAAAGACAGTAACTTAGTTATCATACCTGTGGACACAAGGTTTCCAAATGATTGGCTGCAATTTTGACAATTTTAATTCCATCTTCATTTGTTGACATGGAACAAGCAAGATTTGCCACCTTAAATACAATCCAAAATAATGAAAATTATTTTAGATTATCAAGGAAATGCAGCAACACTTATACTGAACAAGAACATGTACACATTCATTGAGAATCTCAATGACAAAGAACATTCTCAAAAACATCACTGATATCCATTTTATGAAAGAATTCAGATAATCTATCAAAGCAAATAACAATAGAAGGACCTAGAGAATTGTTTAAAATGAGGAGAGACTAGTGAGTGAATCTGTAAACCCTGTACAGTCTCTTGGTATCAATATCTAACCCATAATAAGAAGCTATTATGAGACTGGAAAAAAATGTTTATGGATTGAATGCTAATAGGTTTTTGGAATCTCATATGATTGTGATTTATTTTAAATTAGTAATTGGTTTATTATTTCCCAGAGGTCTATTACTCATATTTAAGTTGCATTAAGTATGACTGTATATTTATATGTTTTGTTTGTATCAAATACACTACAAAGCTCAACAAATACAAGATAATTAACTTCTTCCTGCTCTTGATTTTCCACTACAACTTCATGGGTACTGTTTGACATTCCAGCAGTGCATTTGATTCAAGCATTAGTGACACCCAAATTTCCCTCATATTATTGCTTTTGAAATTTACATTTTCTTCCAACAAAATGAGTGCTCTTTTAATTACCATTATGTCCATGACCTAAATCCAAGGTTTATAAATACTTTCTTCCGACCATGAAAGAGCCACGATAAAGAGTGGGAGATTATTTTCCCTTCCTCTGAACCTCACTCTTGTTCAACATTCTTCTTACCTCACAGAGTAAGGCTTATGGACAGAGGCAATGTTTTCTCTGATCTATAAAATATATCATTATCTTTATCATTGCAAGGAGATACTTGATCTAACAATAATTTTTCTATCTTTTAAAATATCTTTGTCAATTGTTTTATACTTTAACACATTGCAGTTTTTCCTACTAAGATCTAAAATACATCCAGTTGTGGAGAAACCACGCATTAGCCACATGCAGTAGAAATAAACAACATATGACTTTGGATCACTATTTTAAGAGTACCACAAAATGTTATTGAAATGGATTTACAGTATTTGTTTTTTTATAACATTTATTTTAATATGCCACCAGTGAAATAACTCCTTGGTTTTCATTCACATATAATGAAATAACAGCCATACATTATTTAACTGTGGAAGGGCATTGTTCACTTCATTAATGTACATGGGGATGGCTTACTTGAAAAGGTCTTTTGTTGGCTTGAAGGTCACCATGCCTCAACTTTCATATCTGACACATAATTAGCACATTTGTGAGTTATTTGAAAAGGGCAACAGTTTTTGTGCCCCTTTCTACTCCCCAAACCCCAATCACTAAAAGTGAAACTTGACAGTTTAATTGCTTTAAATATGTATTATATTAATTTACACTGCATTTGCAAAAAATACTGACCTGTAAATTTGAGCACTGTTTGTTTAAAGTAAAAAAAATAAAAATAAAAATCATTGGCTCAATGTGGTCAAATTACAAGAATGATGGTTAACCCAAAGCTTAGAAATTACAGAAAACTGTCCTTTGTAGATACTCTTTTACTTTACTTACTCATATTTAATGTATCCTCATTTTCTTCTTTTTCCTTTTGAAAATATGCATTCTTCTTCCAGACATTGGCTGGCCACTAGGCTTATTAAAAGCCAATTAAGTGACTGACATAGTATGGAAATTATGTTAAACACAGTTTGGGTCCATATTAAGAGAATTAATTTTATACAACCCTCTAATGAAAATACAACACAACTGAAAGTTGTGTTTTCTACTTGAAGTTTTCTTCTCACTCTCATCATACTAACACTCTTTTTGTCTTCATTTATTCTATGCCTGCACATACCTGAACTTCTCCTTACCAGAACTGTTTTGTCAAATAAAGTTTCTACGTAATAGAGTATATTTCAAAGTAAGTGCAGTTTTAGTGCTATTTTGTACAAACAAGGTCGAATTTTAAGATACTTAGTATCTGTGACAAAACAGACAAGTGTTAGAAATAAACTATCTCTACATTTCAAATGTGAATGATTTTGTGACGTATTTTCTAATGTGACATCCATGTGTGCATGAAAGCCAAATTTCTTCTAATGATGATTCTTCCTAAATTCTGCATGGCTCTTTAGTCAAGTATGTTCCCAAGAACAGTGGAAATGTAATTCCCTTCTGGTCAAAGAATACAACCTGCAAATAAGATGTTTTGTAAAAATAGTTTTAGATATTTGGACATTTTATATCCTTTGTGTATCCGGGAAAAATTTGGGCAAAGCTTTGTTACTATTCATAAGATCTCTGTAGCATGTTTCTGCTCACTAAGGGAAACAAGGATATCAGGAGTTTTTGGAGACAAATAGATCTGGGTGTGAACCCAATCCCACAGTTAATAAGCTTCTGATCATGAGCAAGATATTAAATTATTTGACCTTGTTTTGTCACCTATAAAATGGTTATGATAATGACTACCTCACTGGGATGCTTTGAGAATTCAATGAGAAAATGTATGGGGAGAGTCTGATACCTGGTGGCCTTCACCATGTATGAACTGCCTTCCATTTAATCTATCTCTCAACTAATGGAAAAGAAAAAGAAAAAAAGAAAAAAAAGAAATTTCATTCTCTCAGAGGTTTTGTAGAATGGAAGCCTCAGGAGCCTAAAGAAATTTAACAGTATATCTGACCCAAGAGCTACAAACTCAAATGCTTTCAAGAGCCCTGCAGGGGATACAAACATTGAGTCGCCATTGACTCAGCGGTAGGGTGGGGTGGTGGGTCCCCAAACAAAATGATTGTGTATGCCCCACTGAAAGGCATTCGTTAAAACAAGCCAAATGAAAGGAAAAACTCAATGTCTTAGCCAAACTAACGTCTGTTGGCTTACTTTAGTTCATAAGTCACCATTTTGTGACCTCTAACCCCACTCTCTAATCCTATATTGTATAAATAAGAAAACAAAATTAAGCCGGGGGATAAAACATACTCAAATCAACCAATGGCAGGGCGACTATTAACTAGCAATATGTGTGTGTCTTTTTTGCTACCCTGAAGAAAGTCTTGAAAAGCATTCTTGCAGTGAAATGATTGACCAGACTTTTTATTGATATTGTACTACGGCCTTCACCAAGTCTACAAAAAGCAGAAGCTAAATTATCCTAAATAAACGGGACGAAAGGTAGTTAGTTAAATTTACACATTTATTGAAAAGAGAAACCTGGGACAAAATGTTCTTTCATTTGTTACAAAAGATTAAATTATATCCTTAAAATAATTACCAATATTGTAGTAATTTAAAAACAAACAAGAAGTCTTCAAACAGGGATATGCATCTTGATATGACAGGAGAGTGAAGTTTTGTATTAGCATCCCTCTCTTGCAGCTCTTTCCTTCCCACCATTTCTTCTGTCCTCTAAAACGTAGGGTATATTCTAGGCCCTTTAAACATAGCTGACCTTACTGCCCTATTTGGGCTCTAAAAAACATTGTAAATGAAAACGCCTGGCCAGACAATTCCTCACCTGAACAATCGTGTTGATGTTTGTTCCCTTCTTTCTGGTTCCTAGTTCATTTTTTAATTAATTAATTTATTTAGAGATATAGTCTTGCTCCGTCACCCAGGCTGGAGTGCAGTGGCTCGATCTAGGCTCACTGCAACCTCTGCCTCCTGGGCTCAAACAATCCTCTCACCACAGCCCCTCAAGTAGCTGGGACTACAGGTGTGCACCACCACACCCGGCTAATTTTTGTATTTTTTGTAGCGATGGGGTTCCGCCATGTTGGCTAGGCTGGTTTCCAACTCCTGAGCTCAAGCGATCCATCCGCCTCAGTCTCGCAAAGTCCTAGGATTACAGCCATGTGCCAAGGCACATGTTCCAGTTCTGTACACTAGTTAGTATGTTTCTGTCATGATTTCCATTTGCTGGACTTTGAGTCTTTCCTTTCACTCAGCAGAGAACATAGTATCCCTTCACTCTGTAACCCAGGGTTTCTGGTGAGAAATTCCCTGTTGTGGAGCCTGGCGTTGTAGAATCCTGACCCCTAGGCTAGTTCCGTCCCTCACTCTCTATCAAGGTCAGGAGAATGAGCATGCTTGACATAAAAGAATGACTCACTAGTGGTAGAGCCAGGGACAGCAATAAAACAGATATTTTGAGATGGGGAATTTCCCCAATGACCCTTTACAAATATCTACTATACTATAGGTTAAGTCTGCTTTTCATCATTTTTTTTTTTTTCTAATCTGGTAAAGATATTCTATGTTAAATATATTGAATGTCAGCACATGGTATGTTTTAACATTCTAGTATTAAGTTTTATCTGAAATCTCAGGAGCACTGGTAGTGTTCTCAGTCATCTTAGACAACTGAAATGGAATCATTGTTAGGAATGAGTACACTATTTGGACAGCTGCTTGTCACACATCATGCAGTCTGTCACCGAGAAGTTCCCACATGGGTATTTACCTGTAATGTGGTCTCTCCAGAACACGAAGCAAACCTCGATGTTTGCTGAGATTTTCATTGTCACACATTCATTGTTTATATATTGTTCACATAGTTAATTGTTATATCATGTCACCACGTGTCCTAGCTCTCAATGGGGGAGAAAGGTCATCGTCTCATTTTCATGCATTTTCCCATCTGGCAGTTGGTCATGCAACTCTTGTGTAAACACTTGCAGAGACAGAGAATTTACTGTCTTGCAGGGCAGTCTAGTCCCATTGCAGGACAGCCCAAAGTTACAAAGTTACACAAGTTATGAAGTTCTTCTTTATAAGGAGATTAAATAGTTCTCTCAACTTTCTCCTACTTGTTCTAGAATCCAGAACGGCAAATATCTTTGATAATGGAAATAAAATGGGGTCTACAGAAAATTCAAATCAATAGTCCTCAAATTGTGGGATAAGAGAGATGGTAAGAATAATAGAATCACCAGTAAATAACTATTAAAAAGAAAAGTTCAATTCCCTTCTGTCAAGATA